ATCCATGTTGCTTTACTGTCGCAAGCACCACTGCTACAGGGGGAAGGCCGTCAGTCGGGGGCCCACGGAGAAGGGTGCCATCCTGTGGCTTATGTGGGGGTGGGGTGCGGAGTGCGGCTCGAAAGCAGAACACGAGAGGAAGTTCGACGAATTGATTTACACGAAGTGAACGAGATCATTTCTGGCGTCGCATTTGGCACGCAGCGTGGCGCGGGCGATTCCATGAGACCTTCGCCTCGCGAGTGCATTTTCTAGTCCACTCGCTTCTGCGTTGGCAGAGCACTCCAGCATTCTGTCTTCTGTTTTTTCGGCCCCCCGGCGTTAATGGCGGGGGGGGAGGGGGGCGTCCAGCATTTAGGCCGTGCTAGTGCGCTTCCACGCCCAGCGCCCCATTGGATGCAAGCCGTTTCACCCTCCCATTGTGGGCGCCCCCGTCATCCCAGAACTGTTGCCAGTGACTTTGCCAGCGGCCAGCAGTCCTTGCCAAGTCGTGAGTCGTGGTCTCTGCTCGTGTCACGTGGTCTTTGCCCTCGCCCACATGGCTTCTGAGTTGTGGCATGAAATTGGAGGAAGTCTCACGCGGGAGCTTGATTTCTAAATGATATTGGAGGAGGTTTCCGGCAGGGGCCCTCTCCCAAAGGCACCCGCAGCTCATGTCTTGGGTTCAAAGGGCCACGCAAGGTATGCAAACAAACTTGGGAATTTGAGGAAGTATCACGCGGGAACCTTGGGTCTCACCAGGCCCCCCATGGGCGACCATCGCACTTATAGCATAGGGGTCGCGTATATAGCATCCATGGTCTCACATGGTCCCCTTATGGTCTCACCAGGTTCCCCCCCATGGCCTCGAGCATCGAATAGGGCCCCCCATGGTCTCACCAGGCCCCCCCATTGTTGTAGCAACGTGGCTCGAGGCTCGAGTATATTCACGAGTGGAGCGGATAGCCTTGATTGCGAGGCCATGCCGCTCGAGCAGTTGCAACCCACTTTGTCGCTCAAGATTGAGATCTTGAATCTGCCGCAGGAGTGCTCGCGCCAGTACAAGTTCAACATCCCTGCGGAGATTCGCGTGGCATCGGCCCCACCTCCACTAGTGGTGGGAGATGCCGACAAAGCAGCTGCAGCAGCAGCAGCAGCAGCAGCAGCGGTCGACCTCAGCAGTCCAGACAAAGCAGCTGCTGCAGCAGCGGCCGACCCAGACAGCGCAGACAAAGCAGCAGCAGCGACCGACCCAGACAGTGCAGACAGAGCAGCTGAGCCGCCCGCCAAGCGTGCGCGCCAGCATCCAACTCTCCCGACGCCAGCTCTCCCGACGCCAGCTCTCCCGACGCCAGCTCTGCCGACGCCGGCGCTCCCGACGCCAGCTCAGCCGACGCCAGCGCTCCCGAAGCAAGATTTCCCGACGCCAGCTACCCCGATGACGCCGCCGGACACGTTGCCTCAGGATACGATCGACCTGACCCCAGACACCCAGGATATGGCGAACTTTTTCGGTGCCATGAGGGTCGCAACGGCCATGACAGAGAGCCTCCCGGACACGTTGCCGGACCAGGAGTAGGGCTTTGTTTTGTTCGCGCGTTTGGAGTCATTTGCCTGTGTTCGGTTGTCGGCTTCGTCGGCAGGGAACGAATGATTGTGGAACAGAATAAGCTTCGGAGATATCTGAGATGCGATCCTATTTATATTCCCAAGGGCCTTCCCTGGGGCCGTCAAGGTTTGGATCGGGCCCATCTGGGACTTTCGAGGAAACCTCTCAGGTGGTCTGGGGCACGTTTGAGATTCTGGCTTGTCGCGTCACGCCATGTCTCCTCTTTTGAGCTTCGTAGGGTCTTGTCGGGGCTTTTGGGGCGGGGCCTAGTGGCCGCCAGCCGCTCGTCTCTCGCCGACCTGGGGCTGTCGATCCTCATGGCCTGCCCCTCTTCATGCTGCCGTTGCTGCTCCTGCAGAGCCTGTTCCCGCTGGCCATTTGGTTTCCCTAGCAATCTGCGTCGCGCGCTGGCAGCCCGAAGTCTTGATTGAGAGGCGAAGGGAGGGGGGGAGAGAGGGAGGGGGGAGGGCGGTCCAGAAGGGCAGGAAGATGATGAGGAAGAGGTGAAGCAGGATGAGTGAATTTTTTATTTATCAGTCAGCGCAGCTCGTCTTCGACAGCTCACCAGCGCCATTCGGCAGCGGCGGCGGCGACGCCGTCGCCGCATCGATGCAAGAGCGTTGAGCCAGGGCTTCCTTTCGAGGAGGATGATGATGAGGTGGACGAGGAGGAGGAGGAGGAGGAGGAGGAGGTGGAGATGGAAGAGGAGGAAGAGGAGGATAACGCTCGGTGACAGTTGCATGCACCTCTGAGAATGAGGGTCGTCGTTGACCCCCCTGCGGCAGCGTTGGTCTGACCAGCAGTTGCCCCATTCAGTTTGCGCCTTCGACTTCCGTCTCTGTTGGATGAGCTCAGGGGTTGATTTCGGCAGGTTTCAAGATACCCACTGAACGTTTATTTGGTGGAGTTGCGCTGGCGGCTGCGAGCAGACAAAACACATTGAACGCGATTGATTTATTCGGCCCGAGGGTGTTGCCGAACGTAGTGCAAAAGCTCGGGGTAACACAATGTGGTTTTTTTTTTTTTAAAAAAAAAAAAAATGGGGGCCCATGAGGATCCTTGCTCACATAAAGACTGGATCCTTGCTCCTTAACCTCCTGCTTCCCGACCTCCCGCTCCCCTCCTCCCCCCTGGGGTGTCCCACAACGGCCTCGCCCGTCCTCCTACACATTAGATTGTTCGCGATCGGCTCCTGCCGACCGCGACGGAGCTTCTCGTAGTCATGCTCTCTGGGCGACCCTGGCAGCGGCGCCGCCAGCGGCCGCCGTTCGGGAACCGAGATTTGCTGGGGTAGATTGTGATGGTGCGTCCGCCTGGCGCGGTCAGGACCCGTGATACGTTGGGGTAGAAGCCGATGGTACACCCCCCCGGCGAGGTCGGGAACCGAGATTCGCTGGGGTAGAATCCGATGGGCACCCGCCTGGCGCGGTCGGGAACCGAAATTCGCCGGGGTAGAATCGGCCTCGTGGGCTTGGGCGTCCGAGTGGAAGAGGGGGGGGGGAAAGGAGGGGGAGGAGGGGGAAAAAGGGGAGGAGAGGTCATGCGCCAAGCATGGTCAGGTCCTGCCCCAACAGGGCTGCCACGTGAGGCATGCCTATCTTGAGTCTAACCTCTCCTCCTCCTCCTCCTCCTCCTCCTCCTCCTCCTCCTCACGCCTGCCTATCGCGGCGGCAGGCGGCCAATGCGGCGCCCAAGCCGCAGCGTGGGGGGATTCGCCGAGGACGCAGGCTGCGTGCGGGGAAGAGAGTCGGGGGAGACAGCAGCAGCAGCACCAGGGAGACTCACCCGAGGACGAGGGGAGCGACGAGAGAGAGGACAGCGGCGCGCAGACTCCGTGACAAGCAATGGGCTCCCCCATTGCAATCCCCATTGCTTGTCACGGAGTCTGCTTGTCACAAGCAGACCCATTGCTCGGGGTCTCCCCAAGCAATGGGCTCCCCCATTGGCAATCCCAAATGCGGCCAACGGCCCCGAGGGACTGCCCAATGGTGGCCCGCTCGCAGTCCTGGCAGTTTGGTCAGTGATCCTCGTCCTCCTCCTCCTCCTCCTCCTCCTCCTCCTCCTCCCTCATGCTCCTCCCCCTGATCCCCCCTCCTCCCCCTCCCCCCCTTCATCGCCTCCTGCCGGCTGCCGTTCTGAAGTTCGACCAGCTGGCGCAGGATCGCCCCGCCCGCTCCGACGCCGTCGCATCGCCGTCGTCGTTGCTCACCCCAAGGGCGGGGCGCACGCAAGCAAGCGAGCCTCGGTTCCGAGCGTGTGTCTTGAGTGTAACGCTTCTCAAGATAGAGACTCCATAGGACGCTTCGCACGTGGTCTTCCGATATTGCTCGAGATAAACTAAGATAAACTATCGCTATCACACGTGTCTTCCAGATAAAAGCATGCTCTCGCGGGCGGCCTCCAGATAAACTCCGCTCATCACGCAGGGTGCGAAAACAAAGTCCTTAAAAGACTTTATCTTCCGGATAAGCCTTTATTTTTTCCGGATAAGCCTTTTTTTTCCGGATAAGGTCCTTTAAATCGGCGCGGTGGTTTAACCCGGGAGTTTATCTCCGCAGCCTGCGGTCGACCGAAGTTTAGCTTGGGAGTTTTTCTTGGGCTCCGACGGGTGCGTGGACACGTGCTTGAATCCCCCCCAGGGCCCCTAAGGCCCCCGCGCGCCGCAGCCCGCGGTTGACCGAAGTTTAGCTTGAGAGTTTTTCTTGGGCTCCGACGGGTGCGTGGACACGTGCTTGAATCCCCCCCAGGGCCCCTAAGGCCCCCGCGCGCTAAGTACCCCCCCCCAGGGCCCCTAAGGCCCCACACACACACGCACACACACACACACACACACACACGCACCCACACACACACACACAAACAAAAACACACACACACACACACGCACACACCAGATTCGGGAAACACCCCCTCCCAGGTTGGGGAGAGGTTCGCAAATACGTTAGGCCCACGTCGGCCTCGATGAGCATGATACGCCTGAAACACTGAGGGTCCCAAGTGCGAATTGCGAGGGGTACCGCCGGGGGGTGGGGGGGGGAGGGGCTGGTTCAGGGGGCAAGAGGGGAGGGCCCCCCTCGAGGGGATGAGGACGAGGAGGAGGAGGAATCAGTTTTTTGTTTTTGCTCAGACAAGGAGGGGGAGGGGCCTGAAGAGGACTAGAGAAGAGGAACAAGGATGGTTTGGGCGATCTCTTGGAGCCCTCTTGGAGCCCACTAGGCACTAGGACGTCATAGGAGCGCCTCTGGGACCCCAAGATGGCCTCACGAGGGCCCCATGTATGACCCCAAGACGGTCCGAGAAAAGGAAACATGGTAAGCAACCAAGTGTGCCCTCTTGGAGTACTCTCGGAGCCCATCAAGACGTCGTGGGAACGCCCCTGGGGACTCCTAGATGGCCCCGCGAGGGCCCCTGCATGGCCCTGAGAGGTCAACGCGTCCCTTCTGCCGTGGCCATTTTTGTGGATCGTGTATCGTCTGTGCAAGCGGCGCTGACTTGCCGCGCCCTGAGTTCCGCCCTGAGCCCCGCCTTGGCCCTGCGGACATTGATGCCTGGCAGCGTATCTGGGACCAGCAGGCAGGGGCCGCAGAGGGCCGCCGCACAGGCCGAGAGGCGTCGCAAGGGCAAGCGTGCCAGAGAGGACCATTCATGTGAAATGTGCGGCGTGAAAGGGCCGGAGCGTAATGAGTTCACTGATAAGAGCCCCCATGCCTCACATGAGTACATCGTCTTCTCGAAGGGAAGCGATGATTTCCCGAAGGGGGACTGTCTGAAGTGCGACGCAACTTGGGTTCTGGGCGGCTTTCAGACTGAGTTCAAAACCAAGGAGAAGTTCTTCGAGGAGAGGGCCAAGGATCAGACCATCCAGGACGCTTTTATCCAGTGCGGGAAATGTTGGTTGGCAGCGCATAACGCTGGCAAGCGTTGCAAGCCACAGAGCGACAGCCATCGCAAGAAGTACGGCGAGAACACGATCGACAAGATGCAGGGCCTCCGCACGACTCGCAAACGCATTTTGAAGAAGAGTGGCCGAACTACGAAAATCAAGAACCCGCTGAAGATCATGACTCCCGAGCGCTACAAGGAGGCGAAGGGGCACCTTCCTGAAAAAGACGGTCTGGTTTGTAAGTGGCTCCGTGCTCCAGGCGCCCCCGGCGGCAAGGTCTGGGGAGTTTCTTTCAGATCGCTACCCGACGGGGAGTGGGATGCCGAGGACGAGATGTACGAGGGAGTTGAGGACGAGGAGGAGCTGGACAATGGCGAAGATGTCTTGCGGGCCGACCAGCAATCCGTTATTTTTGAGGCAGCCTCGGAGGCCATCGGGTCATTGTCCAAAGACGCAGTCTTCATCGCCTTGGACGCTGCCCCGGGCCATGGCAATGGCTCGGTGGCCGTCGAAGTTGGTGGCCCGAGCGACGAGGAGGCGAGTTCTGACTCGGGCAGCACGTCGTCAAGCGCTGGCGATTTGGTGGCCGCGGGGTCGTCGTTCCTATGCGCCTTGGAGGAGCCTCCCAGGGATGCCGCCCAGTCAAGCGGGGCCCGCGCCGGCGCTGGCCGAGCAGCATCCACGAGGGCAAGGGCCCCACCTTCCAGAGCACCTCCGCGGAAGCTGCCGAAGACCACCCCTGAGAAGGGCGAGCCCGAGAAGTCGCCGCAGCCGGGACCGTCGCCGCCTATCGAGCATCATGACCTCACGAACGACACGGACAGCGAGCTGCAGAGCTGCGGTTTCAAGGGCGTCGAGAAAGTTGCCAGCGACATCCGATCTGGGATCCTAGGTCAGAAGGTGTTCCTTGAGCCGCAGATCGACGCCACTCAGCAGAGAGCCTTCGAGACTAAGGCCAACGAGCTGCACAGTGCTCTTGCCAAAGTGCTCACCGATACGAACAAGGCCCAGACCGCCATCGCGCGCAGGAAGGGTAGCCAGAATGCCACCAAGGAAGTCAACGATCTGAAGCTCGATCTCACCAACGTGATGAAGATTTTCAGCAGCATGAAGGGTGGCAAGAACGAGTGGTCCAGCGTCTGCGAGGCCTGGAAGAAGCTCGGGACCAGCTGGAGGCAATGCATCGACAGCTGCACCGGCATCGTCGCTTGGGGCGCGAGAAGGGACGTCATGGAGACCCTGAAATACGGCAGGATGAACCACTTGAAGCCGATCTTCCATGGCGGTCACGAGCTCTTCGATCTCCGAGTTGCGTCGGCCGTGCCCCAGGCTTCTTGGGCAGAAGCGTGGTGGGGGGGCGTGCTGGGCTTGAACCAAACTGGCCACGGAGGAAGCAGCGGAGGAAGATGAAAAGAAGGAGGAGGGGGAGGAGGGAGAGGGGGGGGAGGAGGAGGACGACGACGAGGAGGCGAGCGGTTCCATACTCGGTCGTGGAACCACCACGCACAAGAGGATGGAAGGAGGGGGAGGAAAGAGGAAGAGGAGGCCTCCTCCTCCTCCTCCTCCTCCTCCTCCTCCTCCTCCACCTCCTCCCAGACTCCTTTGCCCCTCCCCCCTCCCCCCCTCGTTGACTTTTTCGGTAGAATATCGCGCTGCACTTAAGGGGTCCTTAAGTGCAGCGGCTTGTTGTCACTCAAACAGATGGTTGAGCGCAGTTGCAACTCCTCCTCCTCCTCCTCCTGGATTCCGTTCCCCCCCCTCCCCCCCCCCTCGTTGATTCTTTCGGCAGAATATCTCGCTGCACTTAAGGCTTAAGGGGTCCTTAAGTGCAGCGGCTTGTTCTCTCTCAAATAGATGGTTGAGCACAGCTGCAACTCCTCCTCCTCCTCTTCCCGGACTCCTTTGCCTCTCCCCCCTCCCCCCTCGTTGATTTTTTCAGCAGAATATCCCGCTGCACTTAAGGGGCCCATAAGTGCAGCGGAATGTTTTCTCTCAAATAGATGGTCGCGTACAGATGCAACCCCTCCTCCTCCTCCTCCTCCTCCGCCTCCTCCTCCTCTCCTCCTCCTCCTCCTCCTCCTCCTCCTCCCGGGACTCTTGCCCTCCCCCCCCCCCCCTCCCCCCTCCATTGACTTGTCCGGCCAGAATTATCTCGCTGCACTTAAGGGGCCTTAAGTGCAGCAGCTTTGTGGTCACTCAAGCAGATGGTTTGTTTTTTTTTTTTTTTTTTTTTTTTTTTTTTTTTTTTTTTGTTTTTTTTTTTTTTTTTAAGGCAGTTGCAACTCCTCCTCCTCCTCCTCCTCTTCCTCCTCCTCCTCCTTCTCCTCCTCCTCCGCCCCCAGACTCGCAACCCCCCTCGTTGATTCTTTCGGCAGAATATCTCGCTGCACTTAAGGGGTCCTTAAGTGCAGCGGCTTGTTTTCTCTCAAAAAGATGCTCGAGCACAGCTGCACCTCCTCCTCCTCCTCCTCCTCCTCATCCTCCTCCTCCTCCATCCTTCCTCTCTGCGCGTGGTGGTTCCACAACTGCGCGTCTGAGCAGAGTATGGAACCGCTCGCCTCCTCGTCCTCCCCCCCTCCTCCTCCTCCTCCTCCTCCTCCCTCCTCCTTCTCCTCCTCCTTCTCTTCCTCCTCCTCCCATCCTCCTCCTCCTCCTTCTCCTCCTCCCCATCCTCCTCCTCCTCCTCCTCCTTCTCTTTCCTCCTCCCTCCATCACCTCCTCCACCTCCTTTTTTTGCGCCCTGCCCGCAGGCTGAGGAGCCCGACTACTCGGACTTCTTCCAGCACGTCGTCGAGCTGGCTCTCGCGAAGCTGGTGCCGTCGCTGGGGCGAAACGTCAGGCAGCCAGCTCAGCTCGTTGAGCCTCTCCGGGAGCCGTGCGACATTCTGGTCGGAGAGGAGTCCCCGTTGCCGCAGGCGGCGCACGACGACCTGAGGGCGTTGAAGGCCGCGCTCTCGGACCACGAGGCCGCCACGGAGCCTGATCCCGTGCAGGAGTCCATGGACGCTTTGGACACGCTTCGCCATGAGAACGTCAATGAGAACAGCATCCTGTACCCCATCGCGGGCGTCGCCTCTTTCAAGGGGCTCGTCGCCATGCTGGCAGAAGTCAACAAGGACAAGCTGAAGATGCTGACCAGGAGCCAGGTCGTCAAGATTGCGAAGGCCGCCCTGGTCCAGCTCGACGTCTTCGAGTCAGACTCCGGGGCCTTGAACTCGTTCAAGGCTGCCATGGCGAGGGCGACTTCGCATGCGAATACAGTCAAGGTGACGCACCGCGACCGCGGCGCCTACAGCGAGTTGCTCGGCTGCCTGATTGACAAAGTGGATTCAGCAATCAAGGTCTGCGACAGCAAGGTCGCGGACGGCGACGCGTCTGGGGTTGAGAAGCTCGAGAAGTTCGTCGTCGCCCTGGGGTTCAAGGAACATCATTTTGGACCAGAGGCAAGCGTCTTCAAATCTTGGGAGAGCTACGTCCGGGCCACAAAGCATCGGAGGCAGTTGGCAGGCTCAGTCCAAGCCATCAAGGATGAGAATAAGTTCGCGGCAGACAGGCTGAGCGCGGTCGTCATGGTGAAATCCTTGCTCTCCAGTGCCACCGTGCCAATGTCCGAGGAGGCCGACAAGAAGATCCAGGATTGCATCCAGGCTGCTGGCGTCGAAGAGTCCGCGAAGCAGGAGGGCGCCATGGTGCTCAAGAAGTTCTTCGCGTCGGCCTTTGCCGGCGACGTGGTGGTCGCGCCCCCAGATGGAGCTGAATTGGAGACCTTGCGATGGCTACCATGGTTTGAAACTCCAGCTTTCTTGCAGGCGTGCGTGAAGTTGACGACGCCGCTGGCGTTCTTCATGTCGCAGGCCGAGAACATCCAGAACTTCGTGGGTATTGCTCCGTCTGCCAAGCCAGATGACTTCGCCGTGACGGCCTACCGCCACGCGAAATTCGTGGCGGATATCGCCCGCGAGGACCTCCACCACAGGATCGATGTCATTCTGAAGGGGTACGTTACCAACGACGACCAAGTCAGGGCCTCCGTCGACCTCGTCATCCGCTATGGCGGCACCATTCGCGGCAAGGCCAATGAGATGATCGACTGCCGCGTTAAGAGGTACGCAGCCAGCGTGGAGAAGTTGCAGAAGACTTCATTCGACCCGCCCGGCCGCGCCGACGGCAAGGACAAGCTGGGGTCCGACGAGGACTTCAAGCAGAGCTTCAACCCCGAGGCCGCCAAGAAGTGCATGAACGAGGTGAATGCCGACAAGACGTCGCTTTGCCACGTGTTGACCGCGTTCGGCGAGAAGGAGGCCAATATCGAGGTTCTCGAGGAGGGCGACATCGCCGTCAAGAACATCAAGCGCCAGATCAATCGGGCAGCGGTCATCATCCTCGTGAACATGAGCCAGATATCCCATCCATCTCGCGGCGCTGCAGCTCGCAAGAACTTGAAGGCCATCAACGATGCCATTACTAAGCTTGGAGGTGACTGCCTGACTGAGGAGACAGCTAAGCGAGTCGAGGAGATCCTTGGCAACGACGAGTCTGCAGAGGACGGCGGTGCAGGGAACGAGGTGCCGACCGATGGCCTGGGCGCACCCGAGGGCGAGAAGGGCACCGAGAACGGGGCGAAGGATGAGAAGCGTAAGCCAGCCAAGGCTAAGAAGGAGCCCAAGGAGAAGAAGGAGCCCAAGGAGGGGAAACCAAAGAAGGAGAAAAAAGACAAGAAAGAGAAGAAAGATAAGAAAGAGAAGACGGGCTAGAAAGAACCGAGCGCCTGACCAGCGACCTAGGTCTGTTCAACGTGGCGGGACTGGAGCACGGGGTTTGAGGCGGGGAGGCGCTGCACCAGACGGCAGCTTGATGCCCTTCAGCCAGAGCGCGCGGCCGCGGGCCGCGCTGCGCGCTGCTGCCAGCAGGGAGCGTTGGCGCCGGGCTGAGGGGCCAGTTTGTGGGGCGGCTGTTACCGCCCATCGATACTTTGGCGCAGGGGTGCGCTAGCAAGATTCATGTGTAATCGGTCGGCTGCATGTTGTGAATCCTGAAATCCCGCTCCGTTCGGTTCAATTCCGTCGACTGAAGACTTCTTTCCCGAGACCTCCAGGACTCCCCCAGGACACTTGAGACGTGAGCCTCCGTTTGGTTTTCGGCCCCGTCGAATTGATCGATCGGCCGACTCAAGGCCCCTAGCCTAAGCCAGCAAGGTTATTAGCCCAGCCAGAATGTTCACCCGAAAAGCCCAGCCGCGAGATCCAGCCCAAATTCCCAAAGTAAACCGCCCAGCCCAAAGGCCCACCCATAGCCCCGAGCCAATGCCGCGTGCCTAGACTTACATATGTTTTGCCGTTGCCCATTCCCCATTCAAACCCATATGGCCCTGAAATAGATGCAAAATGACTTCCATGCATTCGGGGCGGGATGCCAGGGCAAGCGGCCCGGCGACCCCGTTCCAGTAGCGACGGGCACGTTCCCACCGTCAGCGCATCATCCGGAGCCATTGTCAGCCGTTCTGGGCCGTTCGTTTTGCATCAGTCTTTCGGAGCCCACGGCCATGAAGCGCCCAGCTTCGGCGCATGGGGACCTCCTGGAGGAGGCGAGCGCTCAGCGCCACGGCCGCGGCAACATCAGCGGCCATTCCTTGTGCGACCCGGAGAAGAACCTACTACTCGAGGTCCAGAAGGGGCAGATCAAGAAGCTGGAAGCGCTGCACCCGAATGCCGCCAAGACGATGGCAGATAATATCGCCCAGGTCACGCGCGTTTTCAGCAAGTTCACCGTGGCATCCTTGTGCTCTGGAAGCAACGTGGCCTTCCTGGCGTTCTTGACCCTCGTCTTGGCTCTGAATGCCCCTGGGGACGTCTGCAACCTCTTCGACGTGGAGCGTGACTCCGCGAAGCAGAAGTGGCTCAAGGGGGTCATCAACGCCTCGTTCGGCGAGACCTGCGCGTTCAACGAGATGGTGGACATGGGGGACTTCAGCGCTCCCTGTTGCGTGCACAAGGCCAGGAAGCGCTGCCACGTACCGACTGACAAGGGCGGTCCCTTCATAGTTTCTTGCGGCTTCTCTTGCAAAGACCTCAGTAAAGCCAATGCCGCCCGATCTACTTTCAAGCACGCCGTCCGCAACAAGGACGGAACCAGCAATACGGCTACCACGATGTGGAACTTCCATGAGTATTGTGAGCACCATCGGCCCCCGTTGGCTGTATGTGAAAACGTAGAGGAGTTCATTTCGGCCTCATCCAGCAATTGGAAGGAGTTTGTGCATTCGTTCTTTGGCATCGGATACGCTTCCAAATACGTCGCCATTGATGCAGCATCGTGGGTTCCTCAGCGTCGGAGGCGGGCGTACATCCTGGTCATGCAGTGGGCATTCTTCGACTTGACGTTCGACGAAGCGGGTGAGGTCCTCAAGAAGATGACGGAGACGGCAGCGAGCGTGGGTTTCGACAAGCCGCTCCCCTGGTCGAGAATCCTGGTTCCCGTGGGTCACCCGCGACTGCAAGCCGAGTTGAATGAGCTCCAAGCCATTGCAGAGAAGCGCAGGGCGGCAAGGGATTCAGATCAGAGCTCGAGAACTGTCCCTTGGAACGAGAGACAGCTGAAGGAAATGTGCAAGTCTGGCGTCTCCTACTCCTCCATCAGGAACGCCGAGGTGGAAGAGAATCCGTGGTTCAAAACCTTGCTGCCGCGCGAGCAGCTCAGCCTCCTGTACTTGCTCTCTACGAAGCCACAGTCCCAGACGTTGGACATCTCCCAGACGGTGTCTCGCGTCCCGAGGTCGCAACCGGGGCCCTCGGCCGCGTCGGCCGCCCAGCTTGATAGCACGGGCGAGGGTGCAGCTCCTACTGACAGCGACGACCATCTTTGCAGCACGCTGATGACCCACTCGTCAATATGGAAAAGGTCTGAAGGGAGGCTCCTCCTCGGATGGGAATTATGCAACTTGCAATGCATCCCGTGCGATGCCCTTCCAGGCGCCGCTGAGATGCCGCGCAGTACCTTGACCTCTCTAGCAGGGGATGCTTTCTGCGGGGCTTCCTTCTCGGCGGCACTGATAGGCATCCTGATGCACATGCCGAGTATCCCCCAGGATCCAAAGTTCCATGGGGACAAGACTGCTGAGATATTGGCGTCGTTGATCTGGGTTGACCCCGACGCTAGTTAGCTCGTGGCGCGTTGCCCCCGATAATTGATCAGGTGGTTGCGGTCGCGTTGGCATCCAATCGTATCCGTTTCTTCTCCACCTAGTGCCCCCGCTTCCACCTCCCGCCCAGGTTCCCCATTCCTCCTCACAGCTCCTCCGTATTCTGTTTTCTCCTCCCTTCCCCTGCTCCGAAGACCTCCTTGCCTCCCCCCTGGTTGCCGTCGCCCCCGCTGCCGCCGCCCCGCCCCCCGCCTTGACGTCGAACAGTTCGGCCAGGCCCGCCCCCGCCGCCCCGCCAGCCGCCCGGGGCGCGGGGAGGGAGAGGCAAGAAGGTAGCGGAGGGGGAACAGAGGATGGGGGGCAAAGGAGGGGGAGGAGGAGGAGGAGGAGGAGGAGGAGGAGGAGGAGGAGGAGGAGGAGGAGAAGGATGAGGAGGAGGAGGAGGAGGAGGAGGAGGAGGAGGAGGGGGAGGAGGAGGAGCGAAAGGTTTCGGTCGCTCGGCAGGGTGGCGGCCGTGACGCTTCGTTTCGCTCGGCAGGGTGGCGGCCGTGACGCTTCGTTTCGCTCGTTCGGTCGCTCGGCAGGGTGGCGGCCGTGACGCTTCGTTTTGCTCGGCAGGGTGGCGGCCGTAACGCTTCGTTTCGCTCGTTCGGTCGCTCGGCAGGGTGGCGGCCGTGACGCTTCGTTTCGCTCGGCAGGGTGGCGGCCGTGACGCTTCGTTTCGCTCGTTCGTTTGATCGGAAGAGTGTGCAAGATACAGCGACGACTCCCAAAATGAGTGCAGTGTGTAAGATAAAGTCGTGCGCCCGTTGAATGTTCAAGATAAATGTTGACGCCCAGAGAAATACGCCCGTTGAATGTTCAAGATAAATGCCGACGCCCACAGAAATGTTCAAGATAAATGCCGACGCCCACAGAAACGTCAAGATAAATACACATCCCAAGATAAATGCGAAGATAAATGCATAATATAAAGCCATAGAGTGTAAGAACTGAGTTTATATAATATATGTGTGTATGTATATATATATATATATACGTATGTCCTGCAACTCGACAATAACTTCGCGCACCTGTTTGAGCTTCTCCAAAAGCTGTCCCTCATGCTCCGCGAGCACGGGCTTGTCCAAATATATCAGTTGTCTTGCGTGATCGCATTTCCACAAGCTCTTGGGCCGTGTGGAGTATGTGGCCCAGAGGTTTTTTTTTATAGCGCCCATGATGGTATTGTATGTTATTGTTTCGTCGGGTTCTCCTATCCTCCGGACAGCGATCGCCAGTATCGCAATTTAGATCATACGATTGTGGCTTGATTGGCTGAAAGTTTTCTGGCTTGCGTTCTCCATCGGAGCTGCAAGAAAGCCTGGCAACTTGGAAAAGATTGATTGTATCATAGAGACTGCTTTCCCAAGCAATGCCTTTAACGCATTGTCGCCTGGCCCAGCACTAAGCTGACGAGGCGGTCCCACACCAGCACTGGGCAGACGGGGCTGGGGCCTCGGCGTGCTGGGCGCGCGGCTGGGCTGGCGATCGGCATCGGGCCACATTGGCTGCTGCTGATACCTCTGCCCCCCCCCCCCCCCCCTCGTTGACATGCCAATCCTGTTGGAAAAGGGGGTCCTGAATCTGCACGCAGCAGGGCCTCGTAGATATCGACCGCGTGGACAGTCCTACCCCCCCATCACACCACCCGACATGACTGCCAAGTAGGAGAGCAAGACTGAGGGATTGAAAGGGAAAGGAACCACAGCCGCTCTTGAAGCTAGCCGTGTGGTCGAAAGATGTGACGTCTGGGCGCCCGTTCGATGGTTGTCGCACGCTGCGGAAACCTAAGGTTAGACCCCCCACGACAAGGGGTTTCAGCCTTGAGCCAAAATGGCTACGGATCCCTCCCTTCTCCCTCTCCTCCTCCTCCTCCTCCTCCTTCTCATCCTCATCCTCATCCTAATCCCCCCACCCCGGGTGAGGAAGTTTCCAGCCTCGCGCTGGGCACCTCGAACGGAGCACGGAGTTTCCCCAACGCCGCGGGCTGCACACGTTTGCCCCGTAAGGGTCCGACTCATAGGCGGATGGCACGCGCGCCAGCGTCACCCAGCACAGGACGGCGCTCGGGCGTGCCACCGCCTGAGGGTGCCCCCCACCCCGCCGATGGGCTCTCGGTGGCGGTGGCCCTTGCTTTGCGATGTCCGTGGGCACCCGGATGCGACCAGCCTCCGCCGCCCGCCGAGCCGACTCGCCGCCCCCCCGCGCGCGGGGCGTCGAGAAGCAGCAGCCCGGCACCACGCCGCGCTCCCCCAGCAACCGCTCGCAGCTCGCACCATAGGTCAGTGTGGGAGGCTAGCGCTCAACGCCACTGGCCCAGCCGCGCAGCTCCCTTGACCTCGCACGCGCAGTGCGTGATGAAGCCCAAGGAGGCGCGGCTGGGCGTCCTCCGCGCCGTCTCCGCCAGTGGGATGAGCTCCTGCCTGGCTCCTCCCACGCCGCTGCCTGGAGCACCGGTCACCTTCTGCTCGTTCGCATCGCACGTCCGTGGGAGAGAGGGGGAAGAGACCGACGAGGAGGAGGAGGAGGAGGAGGAGGAAGAGGAGGCGGCGCAGGTGGACCATTACCTGCTGC